CAATCGAATAACATTATGAGAGATAGGAGTCAGAGAACACTTCCAATAGATGAGTACAGAAGCTACTCCATCATATTAGTAAATAATAAATAAATGAGAATACCATCCCTTTGACCAAAAAATAATAAACTGAGAATTTTTTATCCTTTCCTTACTTAACCATCTCTCAAAGATAGCAATAATCTTGACACTGATCAAATAGCTATAATTTATCGAAGGATTGACAGTGTAATTAATTCTTTGATATCTAATGAACTCTTGTTATATGATTTGTCAATTGTGGAACCTCGAAAGGGGCAATATTTTCAAACTTTTGATTAAACAATTTTCAAAACTCTTTTAATTGATATTTTCATACTTTTGAAAATACAAGAAGAAGAAAAACGCTTTTCAAACAAGATAATCTCTCCAGAGTGGATCTTGGTAGTTGACATGTGGCTCTCAAACACAAAGCTCGTGCTTAGAATCAATGTTGAAGCAAAAAACAATGAATGATGGGGCATCTTTGGAGATTCAATATCGAATGTTAGGGTATCTTTGGGGATTCAACATCCTGATATGAATGATCAGATCTTCTGAAGGCATTTTCTCCACCAACAGGAACAAGAAGACTATCAGTATCCTTTGAGTTGTTTCTATTGAAACAATTTTGTCTCTCGAGACAGTTTCTTTTAAAAAAAATCTTTGAGTCCATTTCTCTAGAAACAAATTTTTGTCTCTCTTGAGACAATTTCTTTTGAGGAAAAAAATCTTTGAGTTTGTTTCCTTTGAAACAAAATTTTGTCTCTCGAGACAGTTTCTTTTACAAACACCTATCTTTGAGTTTGTTTCCCTTGAAACAAAACATCTTTGAAATCGTTTCCCTTGAAATGAATTGTGTCTCTCTTGAAGGAGCTTCTCTTGAAGTATCACCTTTGAGTAAGTTTCACTTGAAACCATTATCCCTAATGATGGCATGTCATCCTCATCGCGTAGGAATCGTGTCATCCCCCGATCAGACCTCCTTATCACGTAGGAGCCGTGTTACCCCGAATAATGAGCCGACCTTATTACGTAGGAATCGTGTTATCATCCCTAAAGATGGCATACTATCCTCATCACGTACGAACCGTGTCATCCACCGACCAGACCTCCTTATCACATAAGAGCCGTGTCACCCTTAGATAACCAACCTTCATCATCTTGTAGAAACCTTGTTATCGCCCTTCCTAAAGATGACCATAACTCTTCATCACGTATGAGCCATGTACCCGATCAGACCTCCTTATCACGTAGGAGTCGTGTTACCCCGAATAACGAGCCAACCTCATTACGTAGGAATCATGTTATCATCCCTAAAGATGGCATACTGTCCTCATCACGTACAAACCGTGTCATCCACCGACCAGACCTCCTTATCACATAAGAGCTGTGTCACCCTTAGATAACCAGCCTTCATCATCGCGTAGAAACCTTGTTATCGCCCTTCCTAAAGATGGCCATAACTCTTCACCACGTATGAGCCGTGTCATCCACCGACCAGATCTCCTCATCACGTAGGAGTTGTGTCACCTTTAAACGACCAGACCTCTTCATCACGTATGAGTCATGTCATCCCCACCAACAAACACATCAAATTGTAAAAAAAAAAGAGAACCAAACAAAAACTTGTTATCTTTTTCGTCTTTGCCCTATTCTTGTTAACACAAGAATGTGCAAAAAGGGGCAGTTGTAGATACCCATTTTTGTCCGGGTCAAAAAAATATTATTTATTATTATTATATTTATTATTATTATTGTTTTGTTAATATTATGTAATTACATTTTTGTGTAGCCCAATACTGGAGCCTAAAAAATAAAGCCCACCAGCTATCTTACCCGAGGCCCAATATTGGAGCCCAATTACATCTCATCCAGACCCAGATTAAATCAGTATAAGCCCAATACTAAACCCATATAACCTAGTTGGAGCCCATACCTGAAACCCAATTCAGACCCAAACCGACCCAGCTATAACTCGATTCAAGCCTAAGGTCCGATCCAAACCCGACCCAAATCGGGCCACTCAATAATCCTAAGTAGATTAGGGTTTCCACCCTAATCCCCTAACCCTCAAGCCACCACCACCAGTGCTATTCAGCTTCCCCAGTCACGCGTAGACCTCACTACTCTCTCCTCGAGAACGTGAGCTGACTGTCGAGCCATCGAGATACCGTCGATTGTTTCCCGCTTGGTATTATCACCAACAGTGACCACAGTGACAGCCATCCACCATCAGTCAATGAATTAGAGAAAGAAATAAAAAATCTGGCAAGTACAAAATAAATATGAGACAAATATCTTTTAAGTCAATCAAGGGAGATAGGATATCATTATCATATCTCCTTAGTAGCAGTCTCAACAAAAATCAAATATCCATCACACATGCTAGATAAAACGGGGAAGATAAAGAGACAGAGACCATTCGGTGAAAATGGGAAGAAAAAATAGAGAAAGGGGAAGCATTTGAACGAAGAAAAAATAGAGAAAATAAAGAGGTGAGGGGTGAGAGTTTACCTTCATTGGGCCCTCATCGGAGTCACGAGACATTGGGTTTCGGTTGAGGGGTTGTTTCGTGGCCAAGAAGGTTGGCTACGAGGTTCGTCTAGCTTTTTGAGGCTTGATTTAATCAGGTCGAAGAGAGGAAATGAGAAAGAGGTTCTATTTTGGGTTGAAGTGGAGTGTAGAGGGTTCGTTTTATAAAATACGGTGGCCGATGGTCGGCTGAGGATGGTTTAGGCTCTCGGTCGCCACGAAGGAGTAAAGAGAGTGAGAGAGTTCTCCTTTCTCTAAAAAAAAAAGAGAAAAAAATGGGAAAATGAGAGTAAATGGTCGGTTTAGGGTTTACTTTGGGCCATTTATACATTAATCAAAACGACATCGTATGTGGAGGACCCAGAGGGTAAATTTCACGCATGGGTAATTTACAAGACAAGTCCCCATCGGTTTGTAACTTGTATATTCGGTCATTAATGAAATTTTTATTTTTTATTTTGATCTTCCATTTTATTTATGTTGTAATTTAGTCCTCTTTTGCCTATAAATGCGTTTGTGTATATATTTAAGCCCGTGCCATTGTATTTTATTTTATTTATACTCAAGCAGTAAATGTTTATGCTAGTTCATTTTTAGTCCCCAGTTTTGCTGTTATTTTATCTTTGGTTAAGTTTCTGTTAGTATCATGGTATTTTATTTTCTTACATTTCAGTCCTTAATGGAAATGTTGGTTATTTTACTTCGAACTTTAAATTTCATCATTCTTATATTTTAGTCATTTTTTACATTGTTAATTGTTTTTAGTTAAATGGTTGATTTCACTTATTAATTTATGATGTGTTTATTTTATTCCTTGCATTTAGTTTTATTTTTCATACTTTGATATGCCATGTTTGATGTTTGTTCATTTAGGCCATAATATTAAATTATAATGTGTATGCTTGCTTGGTGTAAATATAGTTATATTAGTGCATGGATCATGTTTGTGTCTATTAAACTTCCTTTTTTATTTATTTATTTATGTTTCCCATATATATAAATGTACGTGCAGTGTGATTTATTTACTTTATTTTTCCTATTAAATTCCTAATTTACAAATTATATATGATATTCGGGATTTATTTTTTATGTACATAAGTGTTATGTTAAGTGTATTTATGTGTATTTCGTGTGGAGCCCACCTTTGTGCCTTATATATACATATATTTTCTTTTCTTCCACGATTTATATTCATATTAATTTATTTTGTGTAACACTTTATGTATCTCTCATATTCCGTTAAATATTTTATAACTAATTCGAACATTTTCAAGAAGACATATTTGTAGAACGGACGTGGAGAGTATCACTTGATCGAAGTGGTACAATTCGACACGACGTTCGAACGAAATGGACTTGAAATAAATGGATTTTATTTTAGTTAATTAATTCATTTTATTTTAAGTTCAACAATGTGATGCATATTACTAAATAGGGGTTTATTTTATGTCAAATGTCAATATTTAATTTATATTCGATTCATATTTTATCAAGGAGGGAATATTCTTTATGGATAAGAAATAGTGGAAATAGTTTTTTCTGAAAGAGGATTGCTAATTTCAAGGTTTCTTTTCGAGTTAAAGAATTTTTACCTTAATTAATTAATTCGAAGCAAATTAATTATATTTCAATAAATAGATTGTATTTTAATTTTATACTCGAATCATATTTTCCACCATTTACGACAACATGTAAGCGATTTAGTACCAATTTTGGGCGATGTGGGGGTGTTTATCATTCCCCACACGTAATCGACTCCCGGACCCGTTACGTCGAATCTTCGTAATCGCAAACCAATTTTTTGTCTAAAAACGATTTTTCTTAAAATTATTTTTAAAAGACGTTTTTAGGTATTCAACCTACCTAACCCAAAGGTTGATGGCGACTCACTTTTCAATTTAATTCAAACTAATTTCAAATCACCAAAATTTTCAAATAAAAGTCATAATCGTTTTTAAAATAATATTTAATTATTTTTTTTAAAAATGGTTATTACAATTTCATTTGTTTCATTTGAACCTCTAAGAACTTTCCAAGGCTAAATTACCAGGAAACATGCTTAAATCTCAAGACCACAAGAAAACTCCAAAACAAGACAAAGGAGAAAATTCAATGTTTTAGACCAAAGAAGCAAATTAAAATTCGATAAATAAATCAAGTTGTTGATCTGTTCCTACTTTGAATCAATATAAAGATCTTCATTACGCTCTACACATATCGATTCATGCGTTGACGGTTGACATCCTTCTTTTCATTAGCAGGAAAACCAGAAAAAGGGGTTTCATGAAGGAATCTCAGTGATTAATGAAGAAAATCCAGTTTACTCTTTCAGGGCAGACCAGGTCCAACATAGGCTACAAAATTAGGGTCAAACTTTTATAGTTCGCGGCTTTTGAGAGTTCATATTCAGACAGTCTTTTTCCCTATATATATATATATATATATACGTATCATATGCAATTATGAAGACTTTCGAGTTCTTTAACAACATGCAAGCACCTCGTTGTGTCTCTTTTTCCAATAGAGTTTACAAGCTTTGGCTTTTCATTTTTGTATTCATATCTGTCTTTCTAGTTCTTTCATATGGAGAAGAGACTAGAAATGATAACAATGTTACAAACATCGGCGTAATCATCGATGCCGATTCGCGTATCGGGAGAGAAGAGAAAACAGCCTTGGAAGTTTCTGTTCGGAGTTTCAATAACAGTGTTTCAAACAATCATAAGCTCTCCCTTTATATTCAGAACTCTAAAAGAGATCCCCTCCTTGCTGCTACTGCTGGTTAGTGATTCGAGGTTTTATCTCGATCGATTGTGCTTGATCATAATATATCAATGGAGTTTTTTTACTGATGTTGTATGCTTAATTTTATTACAGCTGAGAAATTGATTAAAGAGAAACAAGTTCAATTGATTATTGGCTTGGAAACATGGGAAGAAGCAGCTCTGGTTGCAGATATCGGGAGCCGAGCTCGAGTGCCGGTCCTTACGTTCGCAGCACCTGCCATTGCGCCACCATTAGCCACCTCTCGTTGGCCTTACTTGATAACAATGGCTAATGGTGATTATCAGCAAATGAAATGTATTGCAGGTCTCGTTAATTCATTCAACTGGAAAAGGGTCATTGTGATTTATGAAGACAATGCCTTCGGTGGTGATTCCGGGAAGTTATCGCTTTTATCGGAAACTCTTCGGGATGTCGGCTCGGAGATCGAATACCGATTAGTTCTTCCGCCGTTTTCTTCTCTTCCGAATCCAAGTGAAGTTGTCCAAGAGGAATTGATGAAGTTATTCAACCATCAATCTCGAGTTTTCGTTGTTCTTCAGTCATCATTACCAATGACTATTTATTTGTTCGAAAAGGCAAAGAAGATTGGACTCGTGGGAAGAGACTCAGCTTGGATAGTTACCGATACAATATCGAGTTACCTTGACTCGTTTAACAGTTCAGTGATTTCCTACATGGAAGGCACTTTAGGAATCAAGGCCTACTATTCTGAGGATTCTGATCTTTACAAAACATTCTATCCCCAGTTCCGAAGAACTTTCCGAATCGAAAATCCAGAGGAAGATAACTTTCAACCTAGCATCAACGCCTTACGAGCATATGACAGCATTGGAACCATCAAGCAGGCCATGGAGAGATTGAGAAGTGAAGAAAACAATCCAAATGCATTGTTCAAAAATATATTATTAAGCAATTTCAACGGATTAAGCGGCAAAATTCACTTCGATGAAGGCAAGCTATCACACGACCCGATACTAAGGATCGTAAATGTGGTCGGAAAAAAGTATAAAGAGTTGGATTTTTGGTTACCAGGGACTGGATTCTCAAGGAACATTGTAAAGCAAAATGGAACTGGTTATGTTGGTGATAGTATATCTGCTGGTTTTACTGGTACAGTCACTTGGCCTGGTGATTCAAAGTTAGTTCCAAAAGGATGGGCAATGCCTACAAGTATGAATCAAATGATCATCGGAGTTCCAGCAAGAACAGCATTCGAGAAATTTGTTAAGGTTGAAGATGGTAAGTATCCAGGTGTGAAGAACTATGGTGGTTTCTGCATTGAACTTTTCTATGAAGTTCTAAGTGTTCTTGATTATGCTTTGCCTTTTCAATTTGATCCCCACAATGGCACATATGATGAACTGGTCCACAAAGTTTACAATAAGGTAATAATACCCTTTGTTTATATATACATGATGAACTGGTTCTTGAAATTATTTATCAGTCAATTATACTTCCAGTAAATGTCATAGTTGTCAAATTTTTGACTTCATGAAACTTGGAAAATGATGTGGAAAAAAAAAACTATAACAGTCACCTACATGATTTAGATTATCGTTTTGTCTCTAATAAGATCATTTTCATGTGTGTGTGCCAAAATCAATGGGAAGACTTACGATGCAGCCATCGGTGACATAACTATACTAGCAAGAAGAACAGATTATGTTGAATTTACTCAGCCATATGCAGTATCTGGGCTATCAATGATAGTTCCGGTGAAGCCAGAGGGCTCGGCATGGATGTTCCTCAAGCCTTTCACCACAGAAATGTGGTTGGTTACTGGTGCAATCTTAATGTACACAATGTTCATAGTTTGGTTCTTGGAACACCAGTCGAATCCCGAATTTAAAGGACCATGGAACAATCAGATTGGCACAGCACTTTGGTTCACTTTCTCCTCCCTTTTCTTTGCTCACAGTAAGTTTGACTGCAACAGCTTTTTTTTTTCAGTATTTATGGGGTTAAAACAATTTATATTTTGCCTTTGTTTAACTCTTTGCAGGGGAGAGACTTTACAGTAACCTGACTAGAGTGGTGGTTGTAGTGTGGCTTTTTGTTGTGTTGATCTTAAACTCGAGCTACACTGCTAGTCTAACTTCAATGCTCACTGTGCAGCGATTAGAACCGAATGTTACAGATATCGAATGGCTAAAGAGGGCCAACGTGAAGATCGGCTGTGACGGTGATTCATTCGTGAGAAACTACTTGGAGGAGGTACTTGAGTTTAAAAGTTATAATATCGAGAATGTTAGCAGTGAATACAATTATGAAGGGGAATTCGAGAGCAACAAAATAGCTGCAGCGTTTCTTGAACAGCCGTATGGGAAAGTTTTTCTCAGTCATTACTGCAAGAAATTTACCACTTCCTCACCTACACACACATTTGGTGGATTAGGCTTCGTGAGTAAATTAATATTACTGACATTCATTTACCAATGTATCTTTGCTGCACTTTTGATAAAAAAAAATATCTTCTCTGACTCGATATCTGTAGGTGTTTCAGAAAGGCTCGCCAATAGCTAGGGATTTTTCAAGAGCCATTTTAAGATTATCAGAAGATGGAACTCTCAAGTCATTGGAAGAGAAGTGGTTTGCTCCTTCACCGGATTGTTCGGCCAACATAACTGACAGCAGTAAAACCGATAGTTTGAGCATCCACAGCTTCTGGGGTCTTTTCGTTATATCTGGTGTCACGTCTACCATTTGTTTGCTGCTCTTCGTTGCTCACTTAATGAATAAATATTGGCACCATCAAGAGGAGAATAATGTCGGCAACTTGTCTCCAGTTGATGACAGTGTTTGGATCAAGGCAGTTAGAGTTGTCAAATTTCTTTATAATGGAGAAGTCTGTGTTCAGGGGGAACTTTCAGCCGGCCCTCGAGCACCAGACATCGATGAATGGAGCTCTTCAAGGTGGGATTATGATCAGAGTCCAGCTTCCATTAACATGGAGAATCTTGAGGTGACATCACAAGCAGAAGCTGAGAATGAAATTCAGTTGCAGATTCAAACAAATTAATGTGTTTAATGAAATCATAGGATGTACAAAACGAGTATTGACGAGTATTTAATTTCAAAATTAACTTAACTAAGGTCGGATTCCACATAACAAGGTCTGAATAATCATCCTTGATAAACTAGGTCACTATTAACTTTACTGCCACGAAGATACAAACACCCCCACTCTAAAAAACATGCAATGGTTTGTCAAATACATTATAAAATTTGACGGGATCGGAAACTCGAATCACAGTCACTAGCCAATGTAACTTCATTGTTAGTCCACACGAATCTAGGAACTCAACAGCATGAGGTATCAAACAAAACTTGTCCCGAAAAGAGATTAGGTTTCAACAATACTTCTCAGCACATCAATGACTTCTCAGCGTGTTCTTCAGATACAAACAGATTTTTGAAATTTGGATCATCGTCATTCTATGTTCCGTGTTACTGGTAGCCTCTTCCTCTTCCACGTCCTCCCCAACCCCTACCTCTGCCTCTTCGACCTCCACCCCTCCCACCATAAGATATACCTTCCAATGCTCTATTAACAAGCTGGTTTGGCATACCACCAGCTACCCGGCCCTTCTTTGTTCCAAAATTATTAGATCCATTGGCTGCATTAGCAGGTCGCTTCACCCTGCCCAAAAATTGCACAATTCAAATAGTTCTGTGTCAGGGTTCAACAATAGCAAGAGTCCACTTGAAACATGTACGAAAAGGGATGTAGACATGTAGTTTTATGTGGTTTGAGTCTATTAGTTCTGTCGCAACGACCTTTTTCCGATTGGTGCGAAAATTGGAATATGCAACATGAAATGCCATATGAATTAATAACATGAATATGCAACACTAAAATATGCCATGCAATTATTTAATACTATAATATGTAACTATACTAATATGCAAAAATGAAACTAAATGACATCATGCACTTAATACCTAAACTATACTATATATACAAACTATGTATTATGACCACATTATTTATATACTACAAATTATTTATTAAAGTGCCACGTGTCACCACCAGGATATAATGGGTGATGACAAGTTCCATTGCATGTTCATCAATCACCACATCAGACCTTGTGGGGCTGGTTTTGAGTAAAGCCAGATACATGAAGGTAAAAAAGTCTAACAATGAGCAGAAAACAACAGTTAAAATAAACAGGAAACTTACCCAGTTGCAGTTGCATTGGAGGGTACAGAGGGTTTTACAGCTTCTTTCCAAGAAAGGTTGATGCTCTTATATCCAATAAATGTCGGTGTTTTGGAATGTAAGGGCTGAAAAGGTAAATAATAAAAGATAAGTAGCTGAGAGTTTAGACACACATAGCACATGTTATACAATTAGATGACAAGTTTCACTCCCTTTTACCTTTGTCATAGCTAAAATATTATTGCATGTACGCAATCCAGTTGTGGAATTCTGCTTTTGAGTTTTCTGCGAACAGAAAGTGAATGATAAAAGTCAAAGAGGGAAGCAGAAAACAAACTAAAACATGGGGTATCATAAGAATAAACTCACGATGCTATCCTTTGCTTCATCAGTTTTAGCAGCCGACATTGCTTTATTCTGCTCAGCCATTCCTTGAGTTAACTTCTTCATCGTGCCCCTCGTTAGGTCTTCAATACTACTCAATCTGGATCACCATTCATTAAAAAGTAAGTACTAACAATAAACAAGGAGAATTATAAACAATATGACAGCAATTCAACTGATGACTATAGATTTGAGGATACTTCAAATTTTCTTTCCTAACGAGCATACTAAGTTTGTTTGGTAGATTATAGTTTTTTTGTTTTTTCTTTAAAATTACGATCGGTATATATCTAAACCGATCCATTGATATATATATATATATATATATATATATATATATATATATATATATATCAATTTTTGAGGAACTGAACAGAACTTGGAACAAAATTGGAGGGAAAAAAAAGAAACAGGTCACTAGCAGATATCTGCTGAATCTAAGCCAATGAACACAAAATTAAGACAGTTACAAACAGGATCAAACCTTCCTCAAGATACGAGAAGAAGGAACCACTTATTTTATATTTTTGTAAAATGTATAGCACAATGGAGACAAGAAGCTAGATCACCTCTCAGTGAACTCCTTATAGTACTCTGAGAAGTCCTCCCCAAGCCTATCTGATGGTTGACCAGTCACAATCTTGTAACCACATAGACTATTTGTGGAATTGGGAGCCTACATAACAATAGTATTCAAATAAGCATTACACAATATAAATTACAGAACAGAATGGCGACGAAGGAAGTTTTATTTAAAAAGAACATTTGGGAGGGGGAAGAAACCTTGTGAGCTAAGTGGTGAAATGAAAACAACAAGCATTCAACATAGGTAAAGTTTGTTTCTTCTCCAGTCTTCCTCGCAGGCATGTACTTCTGAGAGAGAAAATCATAACAGAACCCATATAAATATAAACATGCTTGAGACAATTATAAAATAAAAACCTATCAAGTCAACAAGATATTATAAGTAAATGTCTGTTTATACCTTTAAAAGCTGAACAACAGAAGGAAGAATCTGGCGTGAATCCTGTGGCGTTGTGTAAGGAGAAATTTCTGCCAGACCTTTGAGCAAATCTAGCTTTCGCTCCTCTGGAAGCTGTAACACAGATACATTTTATAACATATTCCTTACCACAGGACTGGCTACTTAAAATAAAGGATCACACCAAAGCCTTCACAAAACAGAGTTTCTCAAGAAATTATAGTAAAAGGAATTTCCCATTTTCAGGGAATATTAAGATGTACAGAAATGAGAAAGGAATTTCCAGCAACATGTATAAAAATTCCAAGGTATTAGCATGTCAACTTTTTGTACTGCTGGAAATTAGTATACCTTATCAAAAACAGGTAAAATGTGCTTGTTTATGTAGTTGAGGAATTTGCTGCCAGATGCACCCCTCTGAAAAATGATTTTGAGGTAAGAAACTGCTAATAAAGTTCATATATTGGAAGAATATTTAACGGATAAAAAGCAGATACTCATTAATAGAAAATCACTACTTACCACAAAAAATGGAATAGCCATGAACAGACATGATATCAACCTATCTATATGATCTGCATCCAAAACCTGCATACAAAAGCAAGTTGATAGTAATAAAGTTCATGACAATGACAGTGAAATGGTGGATCTCAACTAGACAATGTCGACTAACTATTTTTATATTTTATGGCCCCACATCCTTTCTAAAATCTAAAGAATAACTACAATAAATTATGAAAAGTGGTAGTTTGGTATATGAAACACGCCATAAGAATCAAGTCAGGCATTGTAAAGAAAAGATCCAACCAATATTCAGCAAAGAAAAACTCACATCAAACTGTGCATCTAAATCAGCCTGCCCTTCAATTATTTCAATAAGTTCCTTCAAGCGCTCAGGAGGAGCTTTCTCCCCAAATATGATCAAATTTTTTAAGAAGTCCATAAACATTCTGAATTCAGCTCCGGTTACATCCCCTAAACTCTGCAATGCAAATAAATAAAATCAATCCTGCATCTTCCAATTGAAAGTTAGCAATTCATGGGGAAGAAGGAAAGAACTAGATGCAATGATGAATGCTTAAGTAGTGAAATCCAAAGTGTACCTTTTTAATTAAATCGGTAATATGCCTTTCCATTTCTTCCTGGGGTCTTAAGAGTTCAGCTTTAAGAGGAAAAACCTACAAGCATAATTGATTCTCCCTCAATTATCATCAGAAAACAAAGCACAGGATTAGCGACAATGGGCAAAAAAAGAAGCATTCTTCACCTTATCTCGTATAAAGCACAAAACCTTGTCACGGATAGTGTCATCTTGACTAGGGTCCTCAACATTCCAAATGTGCTTGAATAGTGCTGTCAGCGACTCTGCATTCACAAGAAAATCTAGTCATCAAGGGATAAGCCAGGATGAAAAATTCCAGCAAATGAAGAGTGCATGTTGATTCATACCACATTTTACAAGGATATGAAACCATATTAAAGAAAAGTTGATTACATTTTTCAACATAACCATTACATCTAACTTAGCATTTTATTTTATATGTATATGCTCAAATTTCTTTTATTCACATAGCTCATGACCTACCCTAGAGAACCCAAACATCTTCTTGTCCGTATAATAGGAAACTGAAAGAGATGCAATATAACCAAATTCTAGTCTGCAAAAAATTGGTTATACAACTCACATGCAATATTTAATTTATATTCAAATTTCACCATTACTAAAATAAATCAATGCATTCAATTACCAGACATTATCAGAATGCAAAGTACCTTTCACATCCTGCCTCAGTACAGACATTAGGGCTTTATGAACAGCATCACGCTCCACAATCTCCTCTAGTAGAGCAAAGAAGAGGTAAAATACAGAACTATAAGACATTCTTTAACACAGTACAATTTATCTAAAAGGATTCCACTTTTACCAGCAGTAAGGAGTTGCCCTAAAATATCAACTATTTTAGAAATATACTCCTTCGTATCCTTGCAAAATAGAGGAAGCCCCCGAATTGCTTGCACCCGTACCTACAAAAAAAGTTCAAAATCTAATAAAATTCAACATAGTAAAACTAAAGCTTTAATACCCAAAAATTTCAGTAACCAGCTATAGTAAAAAGAGCGCAAGATTGAGTATGAACTAACTGCCAAATCTTCTTCTTCAATCAAATCGAAATGAGCATTAAGAGCACGGCTGCTGAGGTTAGGGAAGAACTTGAAGAAGCGAGGAATTAGCTGCGCAGCCAATTGTTTTGCCTTGATCCTCGTTTTCGTGGCATCGATGATTCCTTCGTAGTCTTTCACATTCTATATCGGAAATTAGACGAGTTAGAGACATAAAAATGGAAAACCCTAGGAATATAGAGTGAGGGGGACTGGGGAAAGAGAGGCGCCAACCTGAGATTTATCCTTGGCCTCGTTGAGGCGTTCTCCAAACTCGTAGAGCTTCTCGATTTGATTGGCTTCCTCCAAAGCGTCAGTCATTTGGTGTGGT